GAAGGAAAGCAGTGGATTATTGTGTGAAGGTGAACAGATGAAGAATTTTGAAAGTTAGAGCTATTGACCATGAAAAAGATTCCATGTAATGAAATGATCTCTCTTTCCTAGTAGTACTCCCAGGAGAATGGCTCCTCAATCCGGAAACCAGCATCGACTGCGTATATTTGCCATGCTGAAGAATAAGAGCAAAATCCATCGCTTCGATCCGTGGCATCAATCATGAGATCAGGCAGATCAAACAAGGTGTCGTCGTCATCGATAGAGGGTGAACTTGATGATTCTAGTATGTTGTCTGAGGTTGAAGTGTGCGCCAAACGTGCAACAGGAAGTTCTTCTTGGCTTGGTCCAACTTCAGCTTCAGCCTCAGCTTCAATGTTGCTTCGCTTGGTCTCGAGAAATGTTGAGGCAGCTGCTTTCGAAGCGGCTGCTTGGATGTCCTTGGGAGACGTACTGGCAGGGCGCGGAAGTTCCTTTGCAAGTTCAGGGAAATTAAGGTAAGCCGAGCGGCCTTTAATGGCCTGTGCAGCGACATCATGGGCCCGAGCAGCCATTTCAGCTGTGGGGTATGTTCCAAGCCATATTCTTGATTTCTTCCTAGGTTCTCGGATTTCAGACACCCATTTGCCCCAGCTTCGCATGCGTACTCCACGGTATTTGGGATGCTTGCCATTATCATCATCACTAGTCCTGTGCCTTCTCTTGTTCTCATTTTCATTTTCCAAGTCTCCAGCTTTCTTTGACCCTTTGGGAGCTTCACTGTTTTTTGAAGTTTTTTTATCTTGATGAGAACCCGAAAACGAGAATATCGTGGATGAAGAAGAAGTGGAAGAGGAAGAGGATGTAAAAGAGGAGGTGGCGGTGGTAGAGATCACGGAAGAAGAGCTAAGCAAGTTGTTATGATGAGTATCATTCTCTATGTTGATATCTCTTTCCATGACAGATAGAGGCCTTGTTGTAGGTAAAGAAAGAATTTTGAGTGATTGGCATATAACATAGTGGTCTAGGGGCTTATATGATTCTTCCATGAATTCTGATCTAAAAAAATGAATAATGATATAAAGAAAACGAATTAAAGAAGCCTGGGTCCATGGCATAAAGCAATTACAGTTATAGCTAATTTGTTACCCATGTGGCAAATTGAATAAAACGTATGCTAGGTTTGGAGATCATCTTTGGTTTTGGCCTGTTCTTACGTCAATTTCTAGCTAAATAGTGAATTCGGGCTTGGGTATTTCTACCTAATGTATTGAACTATTGATGATAAAACATTTCCTACTAATTTCTACGGTGTTAAACTTGAATCATTTTTGGTCTTTAACTGATCTCGTGTTGAGAAAATGGTAGGCCAGATATGCGCTCATTGAAACCTGGTAGAGTGACTTCACATGAACTTTGTCTAAGGGCCTTTGAAGAGTCCTTTTGATTTTCACATGTATGCTTCCTTCTTTTTTCCCTTTCTTTTTTCTTTTTCTTTCTTTTTTACTTTTGTTTCCCCCTCTTTTTCCTGTTCTTTGATTGAACTGGCTCAAGAAAATTAACACCGCAAGACCAAAGCACCTTAGTCTTAGGTTAGCTCGTTGATATGTCATCTTCAGCTTCACCCAATTATGTCTCATACCTGATCTGGCCTCTCTGCCATGGCTTTGTCACTAGTTTCATACTTAATTCACTTATCTATCTGTGAATTCATTTATTTATTTCAAAGGGTCAATTGTGCTCTGGTTAGAGCTCATTGAACACTACATATTAAAAATCTGATGGCCTAGAAAACGGCCTAATTGAATAAATTGGCCAATGGAAATCTTACTAATGTGATAGATTCTGCATAAAAATATATATATAAGCATGAACAGATTGTTAAACTGCTTTCAAAACAGCCATAGAAAGCGAACACGCGGGTTCTGTTATAAAAGAAGAGGACATCTAATGCAACCCAGGCACACATTTTCTTTATTAATTTGTATAATGTACAAACCAACGGTTAACATATAGCGACATTGATTTTGATTATTAAGTATTACTGAATCTACTAATCACCATTTGAAGAAGGTATTAAGGGAGGTTAAGACAAAAACAAGAACTGGATATACCGTCTGGTAACTATTCATCACAATCGGACACATGAGCGGGCACATGCCAGTGGGTCCTCCAGGCAAGCCTCTGAGGCTCTGATTCAAGATTTCTTATTAGCTAATGAGTCAACTATATATGCAAAAAAAAGAAATTCCATTTTTCTATTTTCTTTTCAACTTTCCTTCAAAATACAACCTGTATTGAGAGAGAGAGAGAGGCAGACCGGATGATTTGAACTCTGCGCATATTTTTCCCAGTAACAATAGGTCCTCGCTGTCTGGAGAACACGATATTTTTATGTTATCCATTTTCCATTACCTTCCCTAATATACTGCTTGTAGGAAGACATTAAAGGTTTTACTGAATGAACAGATTTAACGTTTAAGGTTTTTGTTATCTCTCTATTACCTCATGGCTATAACCGTGCAATATGTATAATCATACAGAGTAATCTTGTAGGGAAGCCTTTGTCTTAATTGAGCACTTTCTCCACATTATCATCAGCAAGGGTCTAGAGGCAAAGATGAACATTCTGATATATAGCGCTAACTAAGGGCACATGGACCACCTATGAAAAGACTTCACAGAACTTTGAGTTCTTTGTATAATTGTTTTAAGGAGTCCAGACTCCAGAGCCTTGCCCCATCAAAGCTAATTTCATCAGTCACTCGTGCAATACTCTGCATGTTTCATGTGAGTGAGTTTATTTCTTGTCTCAATGTTGCACCATCAAGAATGGATAATAACAGCATCTTGGAACTACCATGAGATATAGTTCATTGAGCACAGACAATAATTTAATATCCAGAAATCGTCTAGATTTGCTGTCCAGTATCTTCTTTAAAAGGTTCACATTTTTCAATCCTATCAAACACCTAACTTTTGGGCCATCCCTTATCAATCTATCCACATAATTGTTGCCTTACTCGTTATTTTAATCTCCACTTCCCTTAAAATTACCCCAAGTCTCCTATTGCATGTTTTCTTTGACTATCATTACTTTCCATAACTAGAAATTATTTTATTAGAAATCATTTTGAGTTTTATGTTCAGTATTTGGTGGGGACTTGATGAATTTTACTTGGGGCGAGCTACAAAATTTTTAAGCCACATTTGGAAGGAAAATAAATTATGTCCAATAAAAGGACAATTTAAGCCACAATAATTGTCAAGATATCAGATAAGTTCCAGCCCTACATTGTCTAATCCAAACCACCCTAATTGATTTGCATAATTTCCATTAACTAGCTAGTCAAGTCTAATAAAGTTAAGGAAGAAGAGCTTGCATATACTAATTGTGATTGCTGATTGGAATATTTCAACAAAAAGTTTCTCTTCTTTGGTAGTAAGGAATGGGTTAGATGGATGGAAGTTAAGCTATCAAGCTGCCAACATTGTGGATTGACATGGACGATCTGAGATGATCTACAGCAGCTTGTTCCCCTTCTTCTGCCTCAATCTTCACACAAAACTTTCTTTCTTTTGTTGCTTCTTCTTCGTCTTTGGGTACTTGGGGGAAAAGAATTCATAAGTGCTGCAATTGGTACCTAAATTGTCTGATACAACTTTCCTTCTTGTCATCAGAAAAGATAGCCAAACTCCTTTCCCACTAAAATTATCAAATAAATCTTGCATCTGGCCCGGGGGTTATTCAACCTTTCATAATTAAAACTGACGAAAATCCAAAATTTTAATGCGGCAAGTAGGCCAAAGTAGGCCTATCCGGTCTCCGTATGCATACAGTTACTGACAAAAAATGAGGCACTGACAAAGAAGGAATATTTCTTTATTCTTCCAATTTAAAAGCATGGGAAATATCAATATAAAAAATGTGAATAATCGGTAATAATTAGCATAGCTTTAAAGTTAGTTCTGCCTCAGGAGATTCTACTCAATAAATATATATAAATATATATATATATATCACGTGTTTCAAAGTATATACATATATATGTATAGCAGTTCATGCATAATTTTCGAAGAACATGAAAAAAGTAAAGCTAAACCTAGATGATATCCACTGGTGCGTATAGGCCAAGAGATGGACTACAAGAAAACAGAGTTTTGAAATGATTTTGACCTAACTTTTTATGGAAATAGATTCTCATTAGTCATATTATATTGATAAAGAGATTTGTTTGATGAAAGATGGATTGTTAGACTGGACTCGTTAAGAGGCATGACCAAACTTCTTTAATTGTCGAGAAATTATTGCATAAACACTTTTTATTACGTTGTAAATTCATTCAAATATCATCACGTTAACATTTAGATAAGACTAACCATGCATTTAGTATACATTTTCTCCAATTACACAACAGTTTCTCTAATTTTTCCCCTTTTTTTCAACTTCTATTTTACCTAATCATACAAGCAGGTCTGTCCAGGCTAGTGCCTCTGTGCTCGAGAATTCTCATTATTTCACTATAACAATTTTTATAATAAGCTGAAATAACAGTTGTTAAAGTGTATGACTGTTAATCATAAAATTGCAGGTTCGAGCTCTCCTAGCGTTTTTCTGTTTTTTGGTTTCCATCATTGGTAGTTTATTCAGGTGTTTTGTTATAGTTCAATTTAACTACGGAAATGAACTGCAATGAAATTACCCAAGGAAAGATTGATAAAAGTACTGTTGTAAATAAATGCCCAATGGCCAATGGGACCCTTCTATCGCTCATGCCTCCTGGTATTTGGGTCCGTCTTTTTTTTTTGGGTTAATTGGCCAGAATTCGTAGGAAACATCGGTCACATGATTTCCACAGTCTCAAAGGCTTGGATCGCATCGTGCGAACTCGAGGCCCAGGTCACCGCAAACAAACCGACAACAGTCACCGTGCGACCCTCTAAAAGCTTAAAGATTTGTTGGCCCATCGGGCTGTTAATGCAAGTGAAATGCTCCTTAAGCTTATAGTATAATATCAAAATTCGAACATAGAATCTGAAAATAGATTAACCGTTGAAGAAGGGTTGTGAACAAACTGTGATAATATAACACAAAATGCTGGAAACGAAAAAAAGTAACCAAAATAAAAATTAAAAAAAAAGTCAAAATGCTAATTTAATATGCAGACACCCACAAAATAAAAACTTCCTAGTAATATTTGTATCCAGCAGATATAATTACTAGGGAAAAACATTAAATGCTAACATTTCTTATTGTTGGGCACACTGCACTCTTGGCATTGATGGCTCATCATCATCTTCATCGTAAGCTTCATGGTGCCTATGCTGCTGTTGTTCCTTCCGCTTCATTTCCTCCTCAATGTTGACGTCATGCAATGTAGTCTCTTCACAGTCATCGAGTTCCATGTCTGCCAAATGCTTATTAGACCTCATGGGCAATATATTCTCTAATGTCCCGCATTGCTCAGGTGAAAATACCCCGGATTCTGGGAAATCAACATTGAAATGGATGAATAGCCTGCCCTTCATGAAAGGCCTTTGATGATGGGGCATACCCTCATCATTGATAGCCTTGTATTGACCTACATTTTCAAGCAAAGGAGAGGAGATGAGAAATATGATGTCAACTTGGAACAGTAGTTTAATAAATAATATGCAAAGGAAAATTACCGGGCTTAATGACCTCGCCGGGATTTGATTTAATTAGGAGCTGCCTGCCATCAAGGTGAGTTAGGGCAAACTGGAACCCACACAGAGCCTCTGTCAAACTGAGGTTGTGTTCAACATAAAGGTCATCAAATTTCCGTTCAAATTTGGGGTGTTTCTTGAGTTGCAATAGAAAAACAATGTCTCCAGTAACTGTATCTGGCTGCAAATGATGAAAAGAATATGGTCAAAGCTTGAATTATTAGAAAAATGTTACATACAAGACAAAAGTAGTTCACTTACAGCTTCATCAGCTTGTCCTTCAAATGTAATTTTTTGGCCATTTTGCATTCCTTTCTCAATATGTACTTCCAGCACCTTCTTTTCCTGAGTAACCTTGTTTCCTTTGCACTGTGGGCATCTATCTCTATCACTGATCACCTCACCTGCAAGAAAGGAAATGAAATCCATGCTAAAAATCCTACATAAAATGATTACGAAGCCCCCAATAAAGCAGGTTAAATTTAAATACCTGAGCCTCTGCATTCAGGACAGACATGCTGCATCTGTTGTATCATGCCCAGTCCAATCTGACGTGTTGTAATTTTCATTCCTGTACCCTGGCAACCATAACATCTAGAAGAGGCTCCACTCTTTGAACCTTTCCTGAAAATTTTAAGAATGCAGGTGAATAAAATGTAATCACACCAATCATAAAGGTTCTTTCCAAAAGAGGATATAGGAGAAAGAAGAGGGAGCAAAGATGAACAACACCAAATATAGACTAATAGACAACAAGCTACTGGATAGGAGTAAATAGGACAAACATAAAAGTACCAACTTCAAACTTAGTAGAAGACCACAATGAATAGATATACGGGTGCTGTACAACTAAATAGACAACCATATTCTTGGGAGACCTAAGAGTTTTTTGCAAGCACATAAATGAAACATTATATGCCAAAAAGCGAAATACTGTGTAATAAAAAGAATACATCAGATGTTAATCAAACCGAAAGAAGGAATGACCACCACAATATTATTTGACAACAAATTAGGCTCAAAGCACCACATATACAAAACTCTAAACATTTGCTAAAAGGAAATTCTAGTTAATGGAAAAAGTTAAGTGTGATGGAAGACATACCCTTTACATTTTCCACAAAGAGCGTTCCTGGAAAGAGAGAGTTTCTTTGTTGTCCCATTGTACAAGTCCTCCAGGGAAGCTTTTAGAGTATGCACTACATCTTCACCTCGCTTCTGCCTTCTTCCTCGTGAGCTACCACCACCTAAATGTCGAAAAGACTTGTGATTAAAAATTGCAATGGAACTTTCCTAACTAGAAAGTTCAATCAAAAGAGAAAGCAAAAATGGATAAGAAAACCATCTCTTACCACCAAAGGCTCCCCCACCAAAAAATGACTCAAATATTTCGAAGGGGTTGTGAGAAGGCCATCTCCCATTCCTCTTTAAAGGCATCTTCAACAAATTGATCATATATTTCTCTCTTCTCTGGATCGCTAAGAACTTCATAAGCTTGAGCCAGTTCCTTAAACTGAAAGGCAATATCAGATGATAGTGTTAAAATAGGAAAAACAAGGGAAACCCTAAATCCAATTCCTTATGAAATAGGAAAAACAAGGGAAACCCTAAATCCAATTCCTTATGATTTTACTTGCACGAGAATTTCTATTGCATTTTGCATATATACACCAAAAGCCACAAGTTTTATTCTCCCTCAAATTAAAAATATATATCAAACAATATGCCAAATCTATTACATGATAAGATATTCCAAAGCTTGAAAGAACAATGGAGATGTAACCATATTAAGATAGCATTTATATTACGCTTTTAACAAACACCATATTGAAACATTGTTTTATCTTTACCTTCTCGGGATCTCCACCTTTATCAGGATGATTCTTTATGGCAGCCTTCCTATAAGCCTTTTTCAATTCATCTTGACTCGCACTTTTGGAAACCCCAAGTACTTCATAATATTTGGTGTTATCACTCTTCTTTGGAACACGACCAAACATGATTAAATCACTTCAGTTATCTGTGTTAAGTAATAGAATGGTAAATTCACTATTGAAACGCTCCAAAAGTCTAAATTAAAAGGAGAAAATTCAAACACAATTAAAACCAATGTTAAGCAATCCCCAACTAACTAAAAAAAACGCTAAACCTAAACAACAAAATTGAAAAGCTATCGTATTCAAACAAATTTTGCTCTAATTCTAAATAATCTTAATCTCACAAAGCACGCCAAAGAACAAATATGAAAGATCCAAAGCAGTTAACTACAGATTGCAAAACCTATGATACTCACCGTATTACCGATAGATTTCACGGAAGGTTCGGGGAAGCGAGAGAAAAGCTTGAGAGAGAGAGCACTATTTATCCCTCAAGTTCCTCCTCACAAATCGCAGAAGAGTTCTACTGAAACATGAAGATCTCCTATCGGACCTATCCTATTAAAAGCAATTTTAATTTCTACTGTCACGCCATTTTTTACTCCTTGCACTTCAATTTGACCGACTTACTTGGACTGTAAGTAGCAAAAGTGTGTTGTGAATGTAGTAATTCTTCCTCGAGAGGGAATATTAGAGAGGCTTCACGTGACAATTGGAGGCACTGACACGCGTTTCCAACAGTGGAAGATATTGAGAAAAAATAATCTTATTGTTGTAAACGTGACATCATAACCGTCCAATGCAAAGATCGGACGACTGATGTTACTCCATAAATAAACAAGGCTGCTTGGAAAGAAGGAGCCGCCTATTTGGTCGTAATTGATGGCTGGCAACTAACGACGTCGTTGCATTATGTTTTATTTTTAAGTTTGACAATAAATCTTTTGGATTATTCAATAAAATCCTTCCTACTTTGTATTTTGAGAATGTCCCACATTTTTTCTACGATTACCATCCTCAATGTGCTAAGCTCAGCAGTCCCAAATACACCAACCATTGTGCATATCAATCAAGTCAAAATATAAGTCCTACTATAACTCAATTTTGTTTCATCAGCAACAATAAACAATGGCAATGATATTTACTTTCCAAATGGACAGTAAAATTATAAATTATAAATAATAAATTACTATTATCTTATACAAAATAAAGATTCAATAAATAGTAATAATTTTTAGGATAAATGCTGATTTTAAATTTTAAAATTTTTAATAAACTTTTATTTCAGAATTCAACTTTTTATTTCTTTCAAATTATTGTTAATGGAATCAACAATTGTCACATGGGGATATTTGTTATTTAGTTATTTAGCGAAAATGGTGAAATATTTGCTATTACAAGTAGATAGTAGATAGGTTTAGTGAACTTCAAATTTTGTCTCCCTTGCCAGTTAAGCTGTCAGTCGGCTCCATCGAGCTTATTATAACAGTGTCAATGGATATCGACGCTTGATGGTTCGAATAGCAAAAAAAAATTTATTCTTTTTAAGTAAGATTTTGATTTTGAATTTTATAAATAAAAAAAATAAGTTTAAGAGAACTTACTTATTTTATGAAATTTGATTTGATTCAATCTTAATTAATCAGATCAAAAGTAATTATCGAACATCAGGAGATTCAAAAAAAAAAAAAATTAGTGTCTATGGGTAAAAATAATGACTTTTTTCCTTACGAGAATAACATAAGGTCTAAAACTTGAGATTTCATCTCAATACTCATAATTAGGATTCTTTTCTGTTGCTTATCGTATACCTATGCCTTTGTTTCTTGATCGCTGCTTTACTTCTGGGGTAGCTTTTGTATTTTAGTCTCTCAAGCTCAGTGATAAGAATATGTAGCATTTTTTTTTTTTTTAATTATGATGATGTTAGAGTTTAAGAGAATGATTTGAGTGCACGAAAGTCAGGAATTGGAAAGACAGTAAATTGTTGTGTTCTTTGTTTTTGTTTCATCGTGAATCGTTGGCATTATCTCTTTCGTAAATTGAAATGTAAGTCAACTGACCATATAAATTTGTTTTCTTCTTTTCTGTTCACCATTATCTTTTAGTTTTCTTTTTCTAATCGTGACATAAACTTTTCTTAAACCAAATAAATACCTGAGTAGAAAAGCATTATCTTTTTTTATTATTATTATGAGATATTTGGTATTATGAAAAATGAAAATGAATCAAAGACAATCCATATATCCAAAAAGAAAAGGGAAAACCTGAAGAAAGGAATCATGAGAAGCCCCAAAACCACAAGTACTAAGAATTAATCAACGACAATCCTCAGATCAGCATTTCGTGTTCCCCTACTTACCAAAAGGCATCAAACTTTATCTTATCAACTACAATATAATACTAACCCTTAAATTCGTCCCAACTGATAAGAGAATTAAACGTAAACAAAGCTTGAAAATATTTCTGATCATCTTATATAAAATGAAACTATAATATAAGATTTAAGTATACTAGACGTCTAGTGCTTATTAATTTTGTTTAGTGTACTTATCCAAGTAACTTTGCCAAGTCCTTTTCCATTTAACTACAGATTTGCAATACCCTTGCTCTTTTAAGAGATAAATTGCAGAAAGGAATACGAATTTAACCTCATTTTGCTGTTTTTGAGCAATAACCAGTTGATTAAGGTACTTCACTTGTAATTTTATCGAAGTAGACAGATTCGAGGTCTTGCAAGTTTCTCAAGATAAGCATAAGTAAATTTATGTAAATCTTGAAACCCAAGGTGAAGAGACTCCAAAGTGTTCCTAGTTTACAAGATAAGGATATTAAACCCAAGAGATCTTCTAAGTTTCGTATGACAAGCATATTATAGGACAAAGGTATTAAACCCCCCTTCGAAAACTAATATTTTGCTCATTTGATTCCTCCATCTTCGATTTATATATCTAACAAAGAAAAGAAAAGCTAAATTCGGACTTTTATTAGATTTCTCATGGAGGATAAATCCAAGAAACTTGGTTTAATTCTCTTCTTCTCCTTGGAATTGTCCTTTCCAATACTATATATTTGTTGAATTACAGGCAAAGGTATGGTATTATTGATTACTAGTGAAGTGTTTTTGTCTGGATATGTTTGTAGGAACCAGAAGAATTACAAGAGATTTACTACCAGCTCACCACTTATTTAAAGTAGAATCCTTCTCTTTGTTGGCCGAAACAGGGCTGGAAAAGTATGAATCTGATGTTTTTGAGGCTGCCGGTCACAAATGGTAACGATTTTCTGTCATCTTTAATTTTCTACATTGAAAGATAAGAAGGTTATTTCTTTGAATTTCATTTTTGTTTACTGGTCTCTTGAATTAGGAGATTGTCATTCTACCCAAACGGAGACAATAAAAGAAACGGATGTGGCTTCATCTCCCTTTACTTGGTAATTGAAGACACAGAAAATTTACCACTTAATTGGGAAGTCAATGTCAGCTTTAGGTTATTTGTACTTGACCAGATTCGAGATAAGTACCTGAGCATTGAATTTGAAGGTGACCCAGGTGACCGTTCTACTCTATATGTAATCTTTCTCTTCTTAATCATATATATATATATATAATTGACCATTAATTTGCTCATAAACTTTGTGGATTCTGTTGTGGCAGTCAAGAGATTTCATTGGATGAGGACTGAATGGGGATTCACCCATTTAATCTCCCTTGAGTCATTTAATGACATTTCCAATGGATACCTCGTCGATGATTGTTGCATATTTGGGGCAGAGGTTTTTTTAATGGAACCCAACTATAAATGTGAATGTCTTTCCATGATAAAGGAGCCTGAGGACAATACCATAATTTTCAAGATGGAAAACTTCTCAAAATTAGACAAGAAGTATTATGAATCTGCCGTTCAAACTATTGGCGATTCAAAGTGGTATTTTCTTACCAAATTTGACATAGATAGCTGCTGCCATTTGTGTGTTTTTGACACATGAATATATGCAGGAAATTGATCGTTTATCCCAGGGGACATGTGGAATCTAAGGGCAAAGCAAAAGGGTAGTTTCTTACCAAATATGATAGATAACCGCTGCCATTTTGTGGGTTTTTGACACATGGATGTATGCAGGAAATGGATTGTTTGTCCCAGTGGAAATGCAAAATTTAAGGGCAAAGCACTCTCCGTCTTCCTGGAGTTGGTTGAGGTTCCCCTTAAGCGTAAAGTGTATGCAGAATACAAGCTTCGGGTAAGGGACCAAATCAACGATAATCATAAGGAATTCACAGGTAATATTAACCTCTCAGATTTATAAAACTTGTTCTCCTAATATTGTTCCAAAAATACCTGCCCAAATGTTATTGAATTACATTTGCAGATGTCCATAATTTTCCATTTCGATTGAATTGCAGTTAAACATTGGTTTAGTGCAACAAGTGTTAACATGGGTTATCCACAGTTCATGGAGCTGAAGGATCTCCATGCATCCAAGGGTTTCATTAAGAATGATACTTTGATTGTTGAAGCAGAAATTACCCGCATTTCTAAAGTCAAGACATTTGACATAAAACAAAATAAAATTTGTTAGATTTTCTATTATTAAGATCATTTTAAGACAGTAACGTGGAATATCTTTGTTCATGTACTGCTGGACATAATTATATATGCTGCTTGAAATCATGATGAACGATCGATATATATAGTATGCAACAATCACTCAAAATATGCTTAATTTTAAGGAGAAATAAGAAGATTGATTATTTGTTACTAATCATCAGAATTTTCCTATTAATATTTGATTATTGAAGTTAAAATAATGGCCCTCGTTAATATTTTTCAAACAAAATGTATTGATGATAACTTACTTCAAATATTGACTTCCTTTTTTATCTTTATTATTCAATATATTCATCATTATCATTTACATATATTGAATTTATTTATAAATTCTTAATTAGTACACATGAATAGTGATTAAAAATATATTGATCAAAATTACTAGTTCACATAAAAGTAAGGAGAATGGGTCATTTTTCCCCTTTTTTTTTTTTTTATAAAAATTGCATTGACAAAAGCTTTGTTCTATAATTTTTTTTTTTTTGGAAAAAAAAATCCTTTGTTTGAATGCTAGTTTCTTTTCAAAATTATATTGAAGTCTTTAAAATTTATAATATATAAAATTCATATATACTAACTTGTTATAAAAATAAATAAATTTTTTGAAAAAAGTAAGAAGAAAATGACATATTTTCTTTTTAGATCATTTTTATTTACAATAATATTTATATACATGCAAGATTATATCAAATAAAATTAAATTATGTCTTTCTTGAAAAAATAAAAACATATATATTATTAAATGATAAATTAAATAATAAAACAAATATTAGCATATTTTTACTTTTGTAATATTAACCAAAGTGTTTTATAAAATATAAAATATGTTAGGAGATATGTGAAAAAAAATAAATTAAAAAAAAATACTTTTATAAGAATGAAATTGCAATAGTAATAAAATTTATCTTCGAAAAAAGTTGTAAACCAAAAAATAAATTAAAATAGTAATAGTATATACTTTGAAAATAAATAAATAAATAATTGATATTTCATTTATAATCTTAAATGTGTAAAAGAATTTTTGGGTGACAATTAAGGTTGAATAGATAATTTTTAAATTAATTTTTTAATTTAAAAGAAATATAATAAATGATAAAAATGAAATCAAACTCATTTCATATATTTGAAATATAAATTTGATAATTAGAGTTTAAACGGATATAATCTTTTTAATGATTTTATTATTTAAAGATTTAATATGAAAAGTTATTTCAATTTTTAATTTTTAACGTAAATTTTATAAAAGATAATTTTTTATTGATTCAAATCAAAATAAATTCTTTTTTGAAAATTTTGAATAATTTAATCTTTATAATTTTTAAATATGTTGATAGATTTGATAATTAAATAATTTTTTTAATAAGATTACTTGGTAAATAACTAAAATTATTTATTATGAAGATAAAATCTATATTTTAGATTTTTTATTCTAAAAAACATATTTCTAGATTTGATTTTCAATTTTAATTTAAATAATTTTAAAATTTGAATAAATTTAAAATTACCTATTTTGTAATTAAAAGAAGCTATCCTTCTATTATAAAAAAAAACTATCTTACATATTATTCAAAAAATTATTTACATTGACGTTTATTTGATAAATATTATCAAATGTCTATATATATATTATAATATATATATGATGAGAGTTTTCTCAAATGTTAATTATATTATCTTATCTTCATATACTTTTGTATACAAGTTTTTTACCTGCGCGACAAGTGTCTAAACTTAGAACACAAAAGAAATTTGTAGATTTGTTAATAATAATTTTGAATTTTCAGATTGAAGATAAGATCAAACACTTTGTTAAAGTGAAGTTTGCATTCATTAGAAATTATTGCGAGAGGTACAATTAGCTCATTGGAGAAAAAATGCATCAAATAATTAATGAAAAAAGAAAAGCATGCGGGTAACAATAAGCGTGTAGACATGTGAATATGTCTTATTAATCATTATGATTTTTAAACTCATTCTCAAATTTTTTATCTCTAAGTTTTGATCAGAATGAAACTTTTCATTTTAAGACATAAAAGGAATTTAATAATTTTTAATAATATTTTTGAGCTTTTGCAGATAAAGGATAGGATCAAAACATTAATAGTGACAGATCTGTCTGTCTCTTAAAATAAGAATGAATTATATCTATTTATCTTTTTTAAGCGTAAACTAACTATTTGTAGCATTTCGTCTCTCTTTTGTTCCTCTTTGAGTTATTGTTTGTGAGAGTTTTTTTATTTTTATTTTTTAAGTATAAGGCATCTTAATAAGAGCATTATGAAAAAACTTCTTTCATTGACTTAAAAAATTGATGGTGATTTGTTGATTTTTTTACAAAATAATGATGTTTTATCTTCTATGATTAAATTATCTCGAAAAATCAAAAGAATCACAATTACTCTTTTGTTTTTGTTTTATTTCGCTAATAGAGTCTTTGCACATCGAACTCAATTTTTTAAAAGTTAAAACTTTTCAAAATATTTTTTAACAATGATTTTTACATTTGTTTTGCAAGAGATACTGATCGAGCTGTGCTCAATTCCAGGTATGTACCCAACACTTTTTTCTATTTATTTGATGGTCATTGGTTTTTTCTTTTTTAATATGTAGTGAGTTTGTATGTAGTATCAAAATGAAAGGCTTGCTCTATTTGCTATATCATTTTCTTTCATTTTAATGTGCAATAGCAATAATTACTTAATATTTTGTATGTTTGTAAGTAGTTATTGTTGTTAATAATAAAACAAAAAATAAAAAAGATTCTGAGCTAAGGTGAACTCTTTATTCAATTACCTCTGCTTGAGAACCTTTCATTATAAATTTTTTTTTCTTTCATTCTTGTGATAATATTTAGTTTAGACCATTTAAAATTTTGAATTTATCTTAAAATTTATAGTAACTCAAATTTTTATCATATATTAATTTTTTCACACTACATTAATAAAATGCCAAAAAAGAGTCAGTTTTGCCATTACAAATTTTGTTATAGATTGAAAGCTTGACAATTTTACAATAGCCAAAGTATATCAATAAAAAAAAACACATTAGAAAATAAGAGTACAAAAAGCATTTTAATGAGTATATAATAATAGTTTAGAAAGAAAAATCAACTTTCAAACCCATCTTTGATTGTCCAAAGGATCAAACTTGCCAATGATTATACTTTTTCATTTAACAGTGTGCATTATCACAAGGTATTATTGTTTTTCATTGTTTTGGCTTTAGTACCACATATCTTATTTTGTTTGCTATGATTAGACTTCTTATTATTGTTTTTATTATTGTTTTTGCTAGTTGTTTTTCAATTTTAACTGTCTGTTTCACAATTCTTTAGAATTTGTTAACATATATATATAAGTAAAATTAAGCGTTTGTTAGTAACAATAGTAAAATTTGTTAATCTTTGGCTTTTTTTAAAAGCAAGGATTAAAAAAAAGCTTTAAGATGTATATCATTGGTTTCTCCAGTAAGGATATATAGTTATGATTTCTTCCAATTTGTCTTGCCATTACTATGCATGTTCTATTTAAAATTTGATCTATTAATTACAAAATAGTAAGCAAATTAAATGTATTGCTTTTGGAGTTTGTAGATGTTGTAAAGCAAATTATGCATTCGTTTGTTTCTATCAATTATTTTTTAATCTTTTTTCCTTTATTATGGTAGGTTTAGTGCTTCTATATTTTTGTACTTTATCAAATTCATGCATTTTGAGTATGTTGAGTTTACTATTAGACTTTATGAAATGACGCATTCCTCTAAAAACACGTTGATCAATTTAGTTTGTTGCCCTAAATATCTTTTATATAATAGTTTTATGCTTGCCTTTTCCTAGGAGCCATGAAATTGTTTTATTACATTCTATAGATCTTATTATGGAGGATTCAATCTGAGTGTATTTTAATAATCTTTTCAATTTAGTGTTTTCTCAATTTAAATGTAGGATTTAATGTGTTAACTTCTAAAATCATTTGTAGTTACCTTGCTTTGTATTTTCAAGTTTAAATTGTGTAAAGACAAAAGACAAAGTTGAAATATATGGGACATGAGAAAATTATTTTGGATATTAAAAGTAGAATGATTGAACTTAAAAAATAAAACGGGTAAACAAACCTTTTAGGATTATAATAGTAGATATTTACAACATTTACAATGAGATTATAATTTATAGGATAAATCTTTTAAAAAACAATGGAAGAAATCATGTTGAGATTTTTGCCATAAGGAATGTCAATATTTTGATGAAATAGGTAGAATTAGGGTTGAGATTAGAAAGGTTGAGTTTAGGAGAAGTAAACTCTTTAGCATAGCTAATTTAGGTGTTAATAAAATTGATATGTTTTATATTTGGGTTGAAAGGTTTTATTTCTTTTTTGGATAAATTTGTTTCTAATAAATTATGTTTTTCTAAAGCTTTGTCTTTATGTTGTAGGTCTTGATCTGGCTGCAAGTGTCACGGGTCGAGACTTAAGCTTCGAATCTGTGCAGCTCCGGGATCCGGGCATTCACTCATCCGGTATCTCAGATCAGCCTACCTGTCACGGTTCACACCCTTATGAGGTATTGTTCGCTTTGGCCCTCTAGCTTCATGGTTTTGTTCTACAAAAGACGCCTCACAAAGGAGAGATGATGTGAACCTTTATATACCCAAATGACTTTCCTTTTTATGTTCGATGTGGGATTCAAGACTCCTTTTTAGGTCTGTGATATTATCTCCCATCCAACCTCGTGACATCTTCATCACGGAGGTTGACCACCCTGCCTACCTCCCTTGAGGTGTTTTACATGGATCGAACGATATAGGGCTGGCTTTGATACTACTTGTCACAGATTGAGACTTAAGCTCTGAATTCGCACGGTTTCGGGACTCGGACATCCACTCATTCGATATCCCAAATTAGCCTACTTGTAACGATTTACATCCTTGTGAGGTATTGTCTGCTTTGGCCCCATGGTTTCACGATTTTATCCTATAAAAGACACCTCACAATAGAGAGATAGTGTGAATCTTTATATATTCCAGTGACTTTTTTTTTATGTTCGATGTGAAATTCAAGACTCCTCTTTAAACGCGTAACACAAGTGTAAGACTCTTTTATGAATAAAAATCATATTGTGGGTAAAAAAAAATTTATCACTTTGATGATGTCTAGGCTACGAAGAATTTGAATATAAATAATTTGACCCATTTTACTTAACAAGATATTATATGAATTTTTTAATTGAGACTTATATCTTTTTCTTTTAGTTACTGATCAAAATTATTAGTGTTTCCTTAAAGTATTTTTTAAATATATTATTTGTGCTTTAAATTTAGAACTTAACTCTCTATACTTAATATCTTAATATTATATTATGCAAATTCTTTTATATTTGATAATTATATTTTTAATATTGGATTATATATATGTATATTTTAATTTTTTTATTAATTCTGCAGTGAAGCGCGGATTGATTTTCTAGTGAAATATAAAATCAGCTTCATAAATCTATCAAAATTCAATTCCGGAAAGAAGCAATCTAAGTTCATGTTGATGGCAAGCCACTCTGCTTCATGAAGCTCGACAATGTTTGAATGGGCCTATGAAATTCAGTGAACCCAACCTAGGGCTTTCAACCATTTTCTCAGACCCAAAATGAGATTGGTGGGCTGCATCTGCCATGGCCAATGTTTCGTGGTCATGGTCATGTCCTTGTCCTTGAACTACTCTAATGGGCTTGGAAGCGGCTCCACAAGATCAAACATGTCAGCGAGGAAGTCATCAAAGAAGGCATCTGGGGTCCGCTGCTTCTCACTGGTTCAAGTAATGGCTGCCCAGTGTCAGTCCTTCCAGGCAAATACGTAGCAATCTTGCCCATTTTTGTACCCAAACCACCCTCTCTTCCTCTGCCGTAAACTTGCAGCCACTACGAAGATTCAGAAAAAGAAAAGAAAAAGAATTACTCGTGAAGTACAAGCTAGTAGCAGATGAAAGTAACCGAGACAACCCTTGCGATTTGGCAGTTCTTTGTAAAATGCCTTGGATCGAATGGAGATCCTGTCTCGAGGGCCATATTTCTTGACATGGTAGATCAGCACTTCATCTTCCTCTGCTTCCATTGCCCTTTCCTACTTATCTCTACTCGCTTTCCTTCCATTTCCTACTTCACGCTCCCCAAAAAACCCAGAATGTATACGAGGTAAACACGCCAATAGCCCTACGTTCCCAATTTTCTCTCATTCAAAAGCGGTACTTAAGTTACATATATGCCTCCACCCCTTCCCCATATTTGATCGTTGAAGCGTAGGTGAGAAATTATCCCATAAGAATATAGCTGCCTAATTCCCCTCTCAGCACAATGAACGCCTGTAACCTTAAAGAAAACTTGGGCCTGAAGTTTCACAGGCTTATGAGTAGGGATGACAATAACTACGGATTACAATAGCAGGTCTAGAATTAGTCCGTTTGGAATCAAATCCAACAAATAATCAGCTCTTACTTAACCAGCAAGTTTGGAACCCATCGACTAGTCTCGAGATAAGAAACAACTGAAAAAAAACGCCTCTAATTCATTCATCAAGAGAGGAAAAAAATCACGTTGTCTCACTCCTTTCTTGATCAAATTTTGGATAAAAAAATTTCATCAAATCGGAACAAGAATTTTTTATTCTTTCTGTCTTCAATGGCCTCAGCAATGATGGTAATGCACCCAAGTCTTACGTTTGCATTGTCTAAATAGTTTTGTATTTGATATAACAACTGACTATACAATTGGATTTGCCCGTTGAGTTGAAGCTAGTTAGGATTGTGACTCCAGCACGAATTTTCCTCCTTGGATTAATATTATTATCGAGGCTTACTTAGCCGAAAATTTACCCTGTTCTTACAAAAATGGTGAAACATTTGCTATTACAAGTAGAAAATAGATAGGTTTAGTGAACTTAAAAATTTGCCTACTTTGCCAGTTAAGCTGTCGGTCGGCTCCATCGAGCTTATTATAACAGGTTCAATGGGTAAAAACAACCGCCTTTTTCCTTACGAGAGTAACACAAGTCAACTGACCATCTAAATTTGGTTTCTTCTTTCTGTACACCGTCATCTTTTAGTTTTCTTTTTATAATCGTAACATAAACTTTTTTAAACCAAATAAATACCTGAGTAGAAAAGCATTATCTTTTTTTTTATTATTATTATGAGATATTTGGAATTATGAAAAATGAAAGGAATCAAAGACAATCCATATAGCAAAAAAGAAAATAAAAGGGAAAACCCGAAGAAAGGAATCATGAGAAGCCCCAAAACCACAAGTACTACGAATCAAAGACATTCCTCATATTAGCATTTCGTGTTCCCCTACCCACCAAAAGGCATCAAACTTTATCTTATCAACTACAATATAAGACTAACCCTTAAAATTGTCCGATCTGATAAGAGGATTAAACCTAAACAAAGCTTGAAAATATCTCTGATCATCTTATAAAAAAAAAACTACTAGTGCTTATTATTTCTGTTTAGTTTACTTATATCCAAGAAACTTTGCCAAGTCCTTTGCCATTTAAACTACAGATATGCAATACCCTTTCTTTTTTAAGAGTTAAATTGCAGAAGGGAATATGAATGTAACCTCATTTTGATGTTTTTGAGCAATAACCGGTTGACTAAGGTACTTTACCTGTAATTCTATCGAAGTAGGCAGATTCGAGGTCTTGTAAGTTTCTCAAGATAAGCATAACTAAATTTATGCAAATCTCGAAACCAAAGGTGAAGAGATTCCAAACGTTTTCCTAGTTTACAGGATAAGGATATTAAACCCAAGAGATCTTCCAAGTTTGGCATAACAAGCATATTATAAGACAAAGCTTATTAAACCGGCCCCCTTCGAAATTAATATTTTGCGCATTTGATTCCTCCATCTTCGATTTATATATCTAACAAATAAAAGAAAAGCTGAATTCAGGACAATAACTTTTACTTTATAGTGTTTCTCATGGAGGATAACTCCAATAAACTTGGTTGAATTCTCTTCTCCTTGGAATTGTCCTTTCTAATACTATATATTTGTTGACTTAAAAGCTAGGGTATGATATTGAACTCTTGATTATTAAAGTGGTTGTCTGGCTATTTTTGTAGGAATCAGAAGAATTACAAGAGATTTCCCACCAGCACACTACTTATTTAAAGTAGAATCCTTCTCTTTGTTGGCCAAAATAGGGGTGGAAAAGTATGAATCTGATGTTTTTGAAGCTGCCGGCCACAAATGGTAAGGATTTTCTTTTCATCATTACTTTTCTACATTGAAAGATACAAGGTTCTTTCCTTGAACTGTTCTCTTGAATTAGGAGATTGTCACTTTACCCAAACGGAGACAATAAAAGCAACGGAAGTGGCTTCATCTCCCTTTACCTGGTAATTGACGACACAGAAAATTTACCTCTTACTTGGGAAGTTAATGTCAGCTTCAGGTTATTTGTGCTTGACCAGATTCGAGACAAGTACTTGACCATTGAAGGTGCCTAATAATCGTTCTTTTTATGATCATATATATAACTGACCATCAATTTATTAATATCCTGATAAATTTTGTAGATTCTGATGGGGCAGTCAAGAGATTTCATTGGATGAAGACTGAATGGGGATTCGCCCAATTAGTCTCCCTTGAGTCATTTAATGACACTTCCAATGGATACCTCGTCCGTGATTGTTGCATATTTGGGGCAGAGGTTTTTTTAGTGGAACGCAATTGTAAATGGGAATGTCTTTCCATGATAAAGGAGCCTGAGGACAATACCATAATTTTCAAGATGGAAAACTTCTCAAAATTAGACAAGAAGTATTATGAATCTGCTGTTCATACCATTGGCGATTCAAAATGGTATTTTCTTACTAAATTTGACATAGATAGCTGCTGCCATTTGTGGGTTTTTGACACATGAATATATACAGGAAACTGACAGTTTATCCCAGGGGAAATGTGAAATTTAAGGGCAAAGCACTCTCTGTCTTCCTAGAGTTGGCTGAGGCTGACAAGCTTCCCCTTAAGCGGAAAGTGTATGCAGAATACAAGCTTCGGGTGAGGGACCAAATCAACGATAATCACATGGAATTCACAGGTAATATTAGCCTCTCAGACAGTCAGACTTATAAATATTGTTCCAAGAACACAAGCTCAAACGTTATTGAATTGGATTTGTTTTGTTTATTGATGTTTTAATTTTCCATTTCGATTGAATTGCAGTTGAACGTTGGTTTAGTGCAACAAGTGCTAACTGGGGTTATCCACAGTTCATGGCACTGAAGGTTCTCCACGATGCATCCAAGGGTTTCATTGTGAATGATAGTTTGATTGTTGAAGCAGAAATTACCCTCATTTCTAAAGTCAAGCGTTTCTCATAAAAAAAATGTTAGGTTTTGTGTTATTAAGATCATTTTAAGACAGTAACATGGAATATCTTTGTTCATGCACTGCTGTACATGGATATGTGTTTGATTGATTAAGAGTGATTAATTTAAGGAGAAATAAGCAGTCAAATCTTTGTTAATTGTTCAATTTTATAGCCGATTGTCTTGACTGTAACAGTCCATTTTTTTCATATCCTTAAACTCTTTTTATTTTACCATTTACTAAGTTGAAGAGTATATTATTAAGGTATAACTCCCTCGAACCTGCAATAGAGATAGTCGGCAACATTTTCTTTCTTTTAAATGACCTCATCAATTGGCAATCAATTCCGCGTACGCCTTCCATATCCATCAGCCACCCACCCAGTGCGGAAGTCTTTCTTGAATAATTGATGCCATCATCCTCAAATTTCTTGTTGGTTCCGAAAGTCCTATTCACTTGTGATGCATGTATTCCTATATTTCTTTGTCGAGTAATCTACTGGGAATCAACTGGGTTTTTTTTTTTGTAGTGAATTTAAAACTTGTTCTACCATTGACTTTGTTTGTGCAAGACCCAAGCTTCTCCACCATTAACTGTCTGTTTATGCAAAACCCAAACTTCTCCAGTCTTCTTTGATTACGTTACAACTCATGTGGCATTGATGTAAATATTTTTTTTTTAGTTAGCTTTTTTTCTTTATTATTTTGTGATGAATTTCTAAGGGAAAAATAAAAGCCTCTTAGTATATTAGGGTTTCGTTAATATATTTATACAAATTTAAGGGACAAGTGTGTAAGTATAAGGTATAACTATCTAAGCTATTACTATTAATTCGATCAGAATTATTGCCAATTTTCTTCAAAGTCAACTAGTTTTATTTAAAAATTACCCATACCATTCATTTGGTCTTTAAATAGGAGCGGTCATTAATCGTAGTTCTCAAAGCTTGATTTTGCCATTGTATCATTGCTCTAACCTTCATCTGCACTCTACAATGAAGAACAATTTCCTCAGTTCTGGCTCTAGCAGCAATAGTGGTAGGTGATGGTTTCGCTGGCCTGTTTCAAGCCAGTTTCTTCATTCTCTTGTTAATTAATTTAATTTTACAACATACTATTTCAATTCTACCTCTATCCACCATGGTTTAAGTTAATCATTGTTTTTACTCTATTCAAGTTAATTGGTTTTATCAACATCATGACCAGTCCTTGGTCGTAATTAAGTTTTTCCTGACCTGTTCTTCAAAGCACTCGTGCATCTCTATATTAATGCAGTATTCTATTACAGTTTATGGTCTATAATTGTTGGTTGTTTTTTTTTTTTTTACCCCAGAAATTGTAAGATACAAGAGAGATATTCCGCCGGCTCACTACTCCTTCAAAATAGAGTCCCTCTCCTTATTGTTGAACACCAAGGTTGAAAAAATTGAATCTGGTATTTTTGAAGCCGGGGGCTATAAATGGTGGGTATCGAGTCTCATGATGAGGCGCTTCTTAAATTTCACTAAATAGAATTGCTTACCTTGCCATTGGTTTATTGTTCCTAGGAGGATGGTTCTCTACCCAAGTGGAAACACCAAAAGCAATGGCCAACACTATATTTCTCTCTATTTGGCCAATGAAGAAACAAAAGTTTTGCCTCAACGTTGGGAAGTCAATGCTGAACTGAAATTGTTTGTATTTGATCAGAAAGAAGACAACTACTTGACAGTCCAAGGTGTGTGTATATATATATTAATAAATGCCTGTGCTGCACGGTTCGTTCACAATTTGAACTGTCACAATGTTTCACCTCTTCACCATATTCATGATCATGAATTGCATTTGAATTTTGTAGATTCCCATGATGGAGGAATAAAACGTTTTCATGAAACGAAGACCATATTTTTGGGTATTTGTAAAGTTAATTCCCGTTGAAACTTTCCAGGACATGCGTAATTATGGATTCCTCTGTGATGATTCCTGTGTATTTGGGCCGGAGGTTTTTGTTATAAAACCGAAGGGTAACTATGAGTGCCTTTCCATGGTTAAAGAACCTGCTCATAGTACTTTAACTTTGAAGCTGGAAAAATTCTCTACAATAGATGAGACTGCTCATTTCTCTAAAGCATTCACTGTTGGAGGACGAAAATGGTATGTACTTTAAATCGTATATATATTACATACAATATTTTATTTTTGTAAGGTAGATTTGTTAACCTGTAGTTGCTGACTTGCTGCTGTTTTTCTTTCTATTAATTCCAGGAAAATAAAGGTTTATCCCAAAGGTTTTGGGAAGGAGAAGGGTGATTGGTTCTCGGTTTACCTTGTTCTATCTGATTCTGATGCCCTGCCACCTAAGGGAAAAGTATATGCAGAATACAAGCTGCGGGTACTGGATCAACGACGGGATCAACATGTTGAAAAATCAGGTAAACTTTATATATCTTCATCATGAACAAACTTCGGTGCTGATACACTGCAACACTTCTTTTTTTTCTCGCAGTAAAACACTGGTACACTGCCTTAGAAATTTCACGGGGTTATCATAACATGATACGCCTAGGAGATCTCCATGAAAAATCAAAGGGATTCGTTATGAACGATACTTTGATCGTTGAAGCTCAAATTGTTGTCATTTCTGTGACTATGTTTCTCGATTAATACGTCCTTTGCCAGTGTTTTTATGATGGAATAATGGTGGGAGTCTAACCATGTTTGCTTTTGTAAGCAATTAGATTTATCAGTCAATTTACACGCTTTCGTTTTAATGTAGTGAATAAGTCAGCGCGTGCTTTACTCTGCCATTTTGTGATTTGATTTATGGGCTCTGGATTAGCGATTTATATGTATATATATTAGCTTACTACCACGAATTATTTTTATTTTATTTAAATTTAAATAAAAATAAAATTAATATTATTAAATTATTTATATATTTAAAACATATGTAACATATAAATAATATAATTAAAATATCAAATCATAATAAAAATAAGATTTTTTTTTTAATTTTGCTAAAGAATATAAGGATTTCTCTTTTTATAATTGTAAATTATCATATGATTTATATCGTTTTTTTTTAGGAATCTTGGTAAATTTTTTTATCATTTTGAGATTTTGTCTAGGGTCTACTAGATTAGGATTTGGTTAATTAAAAAAATAAAAAATAAAAAAGGTAAAAAACAAAAAATTAGAAGAAAAATGAATGGTTAGATTTGTGTGAGATTGTTTATCTAAAAGTTAAAATCGAAACTCTGTTGATATAGGATTATGTTGATTTGAATCCTATAAATACAGAGATCATAAGTATCAGAAAGGACACACACGAAAGAGGCAGAAACAAAAATAAAAAATGACACACAAAAAGAAAAATGGAGAGAAAATAGAAGGCAGAGGTGGGGAAAAGTGTTTAAAAATGGCTACGGAATCCTAGTATTTTTAGAAATTTTTTTAGAATTTTTGGGCATTTTTTTCCTAGGAAATTTTTAAAAATTTTAGATATCGGTTGAATTTTTTATTCCTGTTGAATTTTTCGATGACTTTTTCGACGTCGGTTGAATTTTTTGGTTAGTTACCAGTTTCTAGCATAACATCTCTAGAAACCGTTGAACTTTCTGGTCAACTTTCGACAAAAAATTTAGATTTTGATTAGATTTTTCAGAATCCGATAAAATTCAACCGATGTTCTTGGGATTTAGAGAGAGAAAGAGAGAAAAGAAAAGGGTAGAGAGAGAGGGGGAAGGAGAGATCCGAAGCATAAAGAAAGAATTTGGCCTTTTATAGGACCTTAAAACGATGTCGTTTTGGAGTTAAATGATTTCTATGATCCGTGCGTTTTCATTCGGACGACCCAACCCGAGTGCTGATTCGTGTTTCAACCTGCTTCCCAAAAGCAGTTGTTGAGCCGAGCCATACACCCTGAGCCACGTTAAAGTTTTTTTTTCATTTTATTTATATATTTATTTATATTATTTATTGTTATTATTATTTATGTCTATTTATTTATTGATTAAATTGAAATTATTTTTCTTTATTTTTTAATAATTTTCTTAAAAATAAAATTTCAAAAATATATATTTTTAAAGAAAAGTTAAAAGTATCAATTTTTCTTGAAAATAAAAAAAATTAAAAAACATATTTTTAAGACAAAATTGAACGTATCAATTTTCTTTGAAAATCAAATTTTAAAAAAATATTTTTAAGGAAAAGTTAAAAGTATCAATTTTCTTTTAAAATAAAAAAATAAAAAATTTTATAAACATATTTTTAAGGAAAAGTTGTAAGTATTAATTTTCCTTGAAAATCAAATTTAAAAAAAATATTTTTAAAGAAAAGTTGAAAGTATCAATTTTTCTTGAAAATAAAAAAAATAAAAATTTTAAAAAACATTGTTAGGAAAAAGTTGAAAGTATTAATTTTTCTTGAAAATAAAATTTTCAAAAAAAAAAATTTTAAGAAAAAGTTGAAAGTATCAATTTTTCTTGAAAATAAAATTTTCAAAAAAAGTATTTTTTTTTAAGAAAAAGTTGAAAGTATCAATTTTTCTTGAATAAAGGCATTAATCTTTAAAAAAATAATAACAATAATAAAATAAGAAAAAAAATTTAAAGAAAAATTTGAAGTATTAATTTTCATTCATGAAAATTTTTTTAATAATCCGATAACAGAGCTTTGCAAAAAAAATAATAGTTTTCTTACATACTCTTGAGGTGATTGGATTTTTCTTAATTTTTTGTCAAAAATATTGGAGTTAATTAAGAATAATTTTTTATAATAATTACTTGGTAAAATTTTTAAGGCTTATCGGATAACATGAAATTGAGTTGGTACTATCTTTTGATGGGCGTTATGAGGGTGCTATAACCTTCCTTACTCATATCCGAACTCTCGAACCTTGTTCTGGTTAATAAACTTGAACCGATTCTTTTAGGGACTTTTAGTCAAGCTTAGGTGTTTTTTTGAAATAATAGATTATTTAGGTGACCAATCACACCTAAACCAAAAAGATTGGTGACGACTCTTCAAATAGATGTCTAGCAATAGATCTCCAGATCTAAACATTATGACAATTTGACGACTTCACTGGGGATAAGCCGAGAGTCAAGCTAGTAAATAAATTTGTGTTATCCAAAAGCCTAATAAAATTAAATTTTTTTTGTAAAGATTTTTATGCATTCATTTTATTTATTTGTTTGATAATTATGTCATTCATATGCATGTACATGACATAAGTTCTATACTCGAACTCCGTCCCTACAGGAGGGAGTAAAGTACCTATACTTTTGTGAGATTTTAATGCCTCTGCAGTGGCTAACGAAATACTCCCACTCAAATTAAACTTTTTTCGCTTGTAACCTATAATGGATGAGGATTGGGATACCTTACTAGTCTGTGACAGATAATGATGTAAGGAGTAATTTGGGAACCTTTAGACTTTAGTCTTGAACTACATATAGTGAACCTTAGAAGTGTCTAACCCTAAGATAGAGCTCTTCTTACCCAATGATAGATATACCTTAAAACTAAGACACAAGAAAGAACAAGTTGTGTTGATTGTTTAAATTTATGCATTTGCATTATCATATCATACATCATTTTCATTGTCATACGTAATATTCTGCATCTGCATCATTTTTATCTCATCCATAAAAATGTACATTTCATCAATGCATCAACATATCATACATAAAGCATAGCATGACATTTTTAATCATAATTATGGTGCTAAAGGTTCAAGGATAGCTCCACCAAGTAACTTCACTCACAATACAATACAAGAGCTCAAGCTAAACAAATGGAACAAAAAAATTTCAATCGTCTCGAGATGATAGAGAAAGCTCAAGAGAAGTTAGAAGGGGAGTTGAATAGGATGTTAGAAGCTTTGAACAAGTGAAATAAGGGAAAGAGTGTAGAGGAGAATACTAGCCAACAAGACCATCCCTCACAAGAGGATGATGATCTATTATACCTTTCTGATTTTGGGTCACATCAAGCCTAACCTTCACAAGATCCACCACCACAGCAGTTTACCTATCCTGTAGGGTACACATACCTTGAAATGCCATCAATTTCAAATTTAAAGCAGTATCAAAGTTATGTAAATCTTGTCTTTACTAAAAAGATAGTAGAACCAATACCAGTCCCTAATTTGGATGATCCAAAAGAAAAAGAAAAACTGAGGCCCAAAGAGAATGAGACTTTAGAAGCCTTAAAAGTTAAACAGAAGATGAACATGTTAGATGAAAGGTTACAAACCGTAAAAGGCATTGATTTTATAGTTCAGTGGATGTTGCTGGGCTCTGTTTAGTCTCGGATGTTGTTATTCCTCTAAAGTTTAAAATATCAAAGTTTGAGAAATATGATAGTATAAAGTGTTTGAAAACTCACATTACCATGTATTGTCAAAAAATGACTGTCCATGCTAATAATGAAAAGCTATTGATGCATTTATTTCAAGATAATCTTACGAGCTTTGCTGCTAGATGGTATTTCCAGTTGGATATGATCCGTATTCATTCTTAGAGTGATATAGCCTATGCCTTCATTAGTCAATACCGACATATTATAAACTTAGCCCTTGATCACCTGTCTTTGCAAAATATGAAAAAAAAATGACTGAATCATTCAAGAAATATGCCTAGAGGTGGAGGGACATAGCCTCTTAAGTGCAACCTTCATTAACTGAGAAAGAGATCATGATATTATTTGTCAGCACTCTGAAATCTTCCTATTATGAAAAGATGATAGGGAATGCCATAAAAAATTTTATTGACATAGTAATCTTAGGTGAAATCATTGAAAATGCCATTAAAAATGGTAAGTTGAAAGAAAGAGAAACCAAAAAGGTGCTAGAGAAAAAATAGACTGAAGCTCAAGCCGTGAGCCTTGATAGATAATTCAAAGAATATCAACCCTATCTACCACAAGGTTATGCCCCATACTATCCTGCTATAAATAATATTTTACCTTACCCTTATCAGCCATATCCACAACCAGCTTACTTACCAACTTATCAATCAGCCTTTCAAATATCTGCATATGATTCTAGTCATATCACTGCAACAGTTTCAAAGTCTAATAACCAAGCGAGTGATTTAAGAAAATCTCAAGATAAACAAGAAAGAGCACAAATTGACCATATCTCTATAACCTGTACTGAGTTTTCCCAGAACTGATCAAAAATAATTTGATATCTTCAGTTATGCTAGAACCATTGAAGTCACCTTATCCAAAGTGGTATGATGCTAATGTGACGTACGATTATCATAATGCAAATGTGGGTCATTCTATTAAAACTTACCCTGCTTTTAAACATAAATTGCAAAGTTTGATCCATAAAAGGCTTAGTGAGTTTTGATGAATCAGGGGGACAATATGTCAATAAAAGTCATTCACCTAATTGTACAAGGGTATGATTTTAGAGAAGGATGTCAAAGCTGGTTGGAAGCTACGTGTCATTTTAAGATTTTTTTCATGGTAATGTTTGGAATTCTTTTTTTTTACAATATGATTTCACTTATTAGCATTTCAATAAAAGGCAAGTTAATGCATTTCATTACGTTTTTTTTTTCATTCAACTATTGTTCCATGTTTTGTCACCTTTCATAACTTTTCGTTCCCATTCTTGAATTTCAAACGATGAATGTTTAGACAATGATAGCAATAATTTTGGGATTTAATTTTGAGAACTCATTCACATTGATTTAGAAAGATTATTTGAGCAAAAGAAACCAACTACTAGCAGATATGAAATTAATATTACTTGAAAATGTGCAGTCTTTATACAAATCTATGAGCT